TTGGCTTGTAAATGGTAAAGAAAACTCGCACTCTGCATAGGTGAGGCGGCTGCAGGCAAGTTGCACAACTCTGCGGCAGTGTCAGGTGCCACTTGCCGCTTGCCACTTGCCACTTGCCAGGTTTTGTGCATCAATAACTTGGCACTTTTTATTGTATCCGCTGGCAGAGAGCTAACCCTGCTAACCCAGAAGCCACAGCGCAAACAGCAGCTCACAGTGCACAAGTTGCAGCTGAAGCTGAAGTCCTAGTCCTGGTCCTAGTCCTCTCTCCTAATCATCAAGCAGCAGCCGAGCTTAAGCCCAGGGCAGGTAAATTGCTGCGGCCACAAGTGGATGGCTCTAAAGGCATTGTCCTAAGCCAGTGCACTGTTCACAGTCGAGTCGATGCACTGAGGACCAAAGGACTAGCAAGGGACTCGGCCTCCTGCTGTCTGTCAGTCAGGTCTCCATCATTTTCGGCCCGGGGATCAATGCGATGCCGGGGATGGCTCTTCCCAGTAATTGGAGACATCCTTGCGTTGCGTTCTATTCCGTTCTATTCCGTTCTGGACTTATCAGGCGACAGCCAGACGGTAAACAGCGCTCAAGGCTCAACAGCGATCAGGGTCACTCATGTGCATAATGATAGTTTGGCCCTGACTGGTGCTGTTAATTAAGTTCTGGAGCGACAGTGGTAGGCGAATGCCTGACGCCTTTAAGTAGTTCTTCGGGCACCTTTAAGCAACGAACGTTCCAAAAATGCGAGCATAATAATTGAGGCGGAGGGGAGCAGAGGAGATGCCATAGCAGCCGCTGGCCAATTTGTAGACACGTAAAAATCTTATCACAAACAAAAGACTTACCGCAAGACGACCCTCAAAGCCCCCAGCCCCCCATACCCTCCCTACCTCCCTCCCTCCCTGCCGTTCGCTCTGCTATGCCAGCGATAAGCCGTGCACGTTGTCGTCGTTCCACTCGCATTTGTCGTCATCAACTGAAACTGAAACAGAAACCAAACCCAAAACCTAAACTGAAACCATGGCACCAGGCACCAGAGCCCGGAACTGCTCGAAGGCGGCACACGTACGGCATATAAATAACATTTCGATTTGGCTGTGTGACAAACCCAAGCCAGAATGATGCAAAATTATGCAGGCAGGCAATCCCCACTCCCAAGCCAGCACCACCATTGGATAAGGAAAATCCCAATAGAAACAACAAAAAAGAGCATAGTGGCAACTACCTAAAGATGAGGAGAGCACTCAACTTCCAAACTTGCAAAAGTCTGCCCAAAAACAAAGGAAATAATCTTCAATACTCCACCCACAGCAGTCCCTCACAAGGTAATTGTAAGTGTGAAGAAATCCCTAAATGGATATGCCAGTCGAGCATTGACAAAGCAAATGAATTGTGTGGGTTCCATGTCTTAAAGTCACTTTATTAAACTCAGTATTTGCACTCAATTAGACTACAATTGTACTCCCAGAGGTTTTTAAATGTACAAATTAGAAATGATTGAAAGCAGAAGAGCACAGCAGGCAGATGGAAATTTTTTCAGAATGTGTTCGTTGGATAGGAAAAGACTCCGGACTGCGCTCAGTCCATTGTCTGCACTTGAAATAATTTGCAAAGCTTTATGGCATTATTATTATATTTATGAATTCAGCATTAGGTTCCCGTGATGCCTCTGGGGAATGTCTCTCTCAAGCTACGATCAATAAGCTCGTATCCCGATGTTAGCAACATTTTCCATGAGGATAGGTTGCGATGTGTCGGTAGAAAGGATCAACATACATGCGAGAATATACAGCTGCTACTGCTGCTTGTTTCTGCTACTCCTTTTGACTCTTGTGTGCTGGGATTCCTGAAATTAAAATCGAAATCATAACATGTCAACACATTTTGTAATGCAGCAAAAACTAACCAAAAATCATAAAAGTCAGGTCCGGCTGTGTGGCAGGGTGGCTGGGATGGTTGGGTCGATGGCTGAGCAAACACAGAAATAATGCAAATGCAAATGAATCCGCGACAGCAGGATGTCAGGATAGCCAGAGAGTGCTGGGGCTGAGCTACTCCATGGAACAGGTGTTCCACTTGCTTCTTTATGCCAATAAAAACTGTATGCATGTGTGTTCCATGTGTGTGTGTTCCATGGGTATAAAAATGTAATAACAAAGTTGGCGGCATTGCTTTTTATGGCCTTTTTGTCATTGCGTTCCATGTGCAGTAAAAACTATTTGCCCACAAAAACCCTCACCATCCTTGGCATCCTTGGCCTGGCGCATGTACGAGGATGTTTACCAGCAAAATGCCAATGGACACAAAATCCCCTCCCTCCCCATGTGTCTCTGTCTCTCTGTCTGTTGTCATATCAGTGTGCTAAAAGTAACCGCATGACGCTGGAAAGTATGCAATGGGTCCTGCGAAAACCTCCTGCAGTGAAGGACCGCAAGAGCGAGCAGTCGAGGCAGAGTCCTGCGGTCCAGGCACCAGGAATATCCGCAGCAACAGTTCCATGTGCACGGGCGTCGTCGGACATTGGCAGGCGCAAACCTCCCGTCAGGGTTTTCATTTCAAATTCAAATGCTGTTTGCATAAAAAACCCAAGCCAAGACATCGAAAGGCATCACGTTTACCCGGCAGCCATGGAACTACACAGATCCGCAAAACTGAGCTCCTCCTGCCACTCCTGCTGGGGAGGGCAGCGAAGGGAGTAGCAGTGACAATAGCAACAAACGGCTGCCATTGCAGCAGGGATAGATGGATGGATGGATGGATGGATGGATGGATGGATGGATGGATGAGCGGACAGATGGGTGAATCGCTTTTGGTTGGAATGAGTTCTGAGGTGGATTGCACTGCCAGAATGTTTGCAATGTCGTTGGCCGTGGGGCGTTCCGAATTGCCAAGACGTTTCATTTGGCCAACAGGCAGGCGATAGAGCCAGCTGGCAGTCGCCGTTTTGCATGCGCCACGTGGGCTGCAGACTGCGGACTGCGGACTGCGGGGCCTGACTCTGTGTCCGTGTTGGGTTAAGTGGATTGTTTACTTTGATTACAAAAATATGGCAAATGTTTGCACGTTTGATGTCTCACTATGACGGTGTGTGTGGGGAAGAGCTCAAGGATGGAACAAGAGGAGTTCTGTTCTATCGTTAAAACTTGATTTTGATTGTGTGTTTTCAAGTAGTTTTTATATTAATTGTTGCAATTTTCTCTGCAGTTTCCACCTGCTCACGCTCTCATCTCTAGCGCAAATCACACACACACACACACACACACATACTCGCATATATTTGCATACGGAAGAGGGTGGAATAGAGTGGCCAGAGGGCTAAAGAGAGAGAGAGAGAGAGAGAGGGAGAGGGAGAGCCAGATTGGAGAGACAAATGGCGTTTGGCTTGGCGCGCTTGTAAAATCCAAAAGCTAACATTATTACAAAAAATCTGCAGTTATACATTTGACTTTTGGTTTTATTTTTATGATTTTTGTGCAGCTTGCAGTTGACCGACCGACCGAGCGAACACCCCACCCCAACTGACGCTCTCCTCACCCTTCGGCCACACAGAGACACTTGCTGGTTGGCTGGTTTTTTATTACATTGGGCTTTTGGGTGGACAGAGGGCAGGGACAAGGGCACACCTCTGGATGCCAGATGGAAGGAAACTGTTGATTGTGGAAGCAATAATCGTAGTGTGTGGGGGGGGGCCATGAGGAGGAGCCAATGGAAATGATGCCAAAAGAAAGGTGAAGCTCGAGTTGGGCAAAAATGAATAGATGCATAGCCAGAGTGAAGAGGGAGGAGAGAGGAGAGAGATAGAGCCTCCCCACTGCAGTGGGTCATCGAAGGTCAAAGGCATTCATCAGCAGCTTGGCACCTCATCACTGGCAGGGGAGTCGCAGTCGCAGTCGGAGGCGGAGCCGGAGCACGGCCTCTGCCCTTCAGTACACATATTTGCCTGTTCCCTGAAATGTTTGCACTGCGCCGAAAACTAATTTTGACAGGCGGCAGGCGGTGCAGGAAAGAGCGAATTGTAACTCTCTTATTGGAGCAATTTCTATTTGTTGGAAATCACAATGCCAAATAGCTTTTGATTTTTTATACTTATTCTTTCGTGTTTCTTTCATTTTGTCGGGTTTGAATATTCTGGAATCGCCACCGCCTTCTGGCTGCATTTTATTTTATTAATGGGAATTTGTTTTGGCCAAAACGTTGAACCGAAACCGAAGAGAACGAGTCCGTGTCGAGTGCCGAGTGTGGGACAGGGCTGTGGAGAGCGTGGCCACCAGGATGCCGCCTCGTCGCTATTATGGCAGCCATTTGTTTGCACGAGAGCCAGCGGACGACACGGGACCCAGGGATCTAGGGTCTAGGGCCCAACAGGGCGTATGCGCTATATAATTTTTCTCGCGCTCTTGGCGGTCCCCGCCCCAGCGACGACCACATGTCGCTCATGATTAATTGAAAGATTCTCTCAACTTCAACTGTTCTCGGGCTCTTTCGTTTTATTATACAACTCTGCTGCTGAGTTTTGGCTAGTGGTAGCTGTTGGCTGTTGGCTGTTGGTTGTTGCTGTCGCCCAAAGTGTTTTGATTAATGAACAAAAGCTGTGGGAAACTGTAAATAAATTTCTTGGAATATCAAATGCCATTTTCCATGGAAGTGCCATCAAGTTTTGTACGCTTAACAATTAGTTCTCGGTGGCTAATTGTTGCTTTGACTTTGACTGAGCTGAAGCCTAACCCCAAGCAAATTCCTCAAAATGAATCGATAAGTGGCTACCATTATTTCATGCCTTCAATTCGAGACTCATTTGGAAGAGCTTGTGGCAAATTCATTTCCTTTTTTAGCTGCTAATTTGCTAGAGTGTGTATCCAAAGATGGAAAGTAGTTGGAGTTGTTCGTGGAGCGGCCTGTTATCAGTGCCCACCAGTCGCTGTCTTATCACAGTTGTCTCCCCAGCCCAACACCAGATAAGATGCGTTCTTGGGGCTCTTTGTGGTCTTGGCATTCAGTTCGTGTTTCAGTGTCGAAATGGGTGGGGACTACATCTTATTGGAGCAGCATCAACAGCTCGGCGATACCACACTCTTTCCGGGTGGCAGCTGTGGCAGCAGTGGAGCAGGAGGACAGGTATCCCGAGCCACTCGGCGCCGCCTGTCGTCCTTCCAGCAGCTGTTGCTGATCCTGGTGGCCGGCAGCTGCACGATCGCACTCTATGCCTACTGGGACGTGATGCTGCTGACATCCGGCAATGTGCCCGAAACTCAGCTGAGCAACGAGACACTCGCCGAGAAGCTGCAGCGAGAGGTGCGAGTCCTCTGCTGGGTGCTGACCACGCCCAAGTACCACAAATCGAGGGCGGTGCACGTGATGCGGACGTGGGGCAAGCGCTGCAACAAGATCTACTTCATGACCTCAGAACCGGACGACGAGCTGCCCACCATTGTGCTCACGAAGCCCGACAAGTACGAGGTGCTCTGGGGCAAGACAAAGGAGGCCTTCAGCTACCTCTACGAGCACATGCTAGACGAGGCCGATTGGTTCATGAAGGCCGACGATGACACGTAGGTTGGATGCGGAATGCAGTAATGGGATGTAGTAAGCAATTGCCTCTCTCTCTCTCTCTCGACAGCTACGTGTTCGTGGAGAATCTGCGCTACATGCTCTATCCGTACTCCCCCGATCAGGCCATTTATTTTGGCTACAACTTCAAGATGGTCGGCACGCACCAGAAGAACGAGGTAAGGCATATACATCTATGATTCGCTGTAACTAAACGAACCGCCAGTCCTACATGTCAGGCGGCAGTGGCTATGTGCTGAGCCGGGAGGCTTTGCGTGTCTTCGTCGAGGGATTGAACGACACGACAAAGTGCCGGCAGGAGGACGATCATGCCGAGGACATGGAGATGGGACGCTGCCTGTTCAACTTGGATGTGAAAGCGGGCGACTCACGAGACTCCAAGTTGCGACACCGATTCTATCCGCTGTTGCCCTTCAACATTCTCCTTTCCGGCTACTTCGGGCTGGACTTTTGGCTGTACAAGTACGCCTTCTACTCGATGCGATCGGTGAGTGCGATCCTCCCTCAACAGAATGGTGCAGCCTCAACAGAATTCTCCACTCTCTCTCTCTCTCTCAGTGCATGGACTGCCTCTCCGAATATCCAGTGGCGTTTCACTATGTGAGTCCCGCGCAGCTCTACGTCTTTGACTTCTTCAATTACGACTTCCAGCTGATGGGCAAGCAGAAGCCCGTTGAGCGACTGCCAGAGAAAATCAAGCCAGAAGACCTTGTCATACCCGAGTACGACAATCATTTTGACTAATACCGAACGAGTAGCGCCGAACGGCGCTCTTATACATTCAAATACAAATTTGTAAAGAACTTTGTTATTATAAGAGACAATTCGGTGGACAATCTGTACCGTGATGCTTCGCTTTTCAAGTATTTTGCTGGCATTTAAATGTCCTTGTTCTAAGCACTTGACTCTCATTTTCTAAGGATGCTAATTAAGGTCAACAGGCACATAGACACACAGACACACAGACACACAGACATTTGCTGGACAGCTTTCTAGGCTAATAAGTTCTTCTTGGCCTTCTTGGCAAGCTCTGGCCAGAATCGCTTCAAATGTGAATTGGAATACGAATAGAAATGGGAATTGGGGACTTGGAATTTGAATTGGAATTGGTAATGCTGCCCCCACACACCCGTAAGACACTTGGCTCTAATGCGTTTTGTGTTGGGGCTGGGCCAAGTCATGCCAGGGGCCATGCCTGTTCTGTGTTCCGGCATTGTTTCGGCCTGCGAGCCAGACAATTTCCGCTCGTAAAAGTGGTCCTCCGTCAGGCTGTGGGAGGTGAGTGTGCTACCCGGAATCCACTGCCAGTGGCCAGCCACTGTAATTAATACCAAAATAATTGTATTTGGATAACACAAACGTAATCAAGATTAATTGAGTAACAGCAGGTAGTTTGCATAATTAGAGCGCGGTGGCTGAGAGCGTAGACAGGCCGCTGCCAGCCCCCACCGCAGCCCACGTCTACCGAAAACATAATTTGCAATTTCGACTGTCTGATGTTGGTGCTGCCAACTCGGTTGGTTTCACTCCCCATCTCCCCATCTCCCTCTCCCTCTCTCTCGCTTTTGTGCATCATTGGCGGGGGGGGGGGGGGGGGGGGGATGACCATAGCCATGGCCACTTCGCTGGTTGACGGTTTAAAGAGCGATCAATTCAAACTGCGAACTGCAATTTATGCAAAAGTTGTGGCCTTATATTAATGCGATTTTCTGATAAATATTATGCATTCATTCATCCTCCATCAAATGGCCATCATTTTACGCAAATAAAATGGCTAATTCTATTTTGAAGCTTCATTTAAACGTACGGAAAACAAATTCTTAATTTAAATAAATATTTAATAAATACCTGCTGAGACTTTTGGGCAGCGTTAGGAAGCAGAATGAAATATCTGCGACAGCAATTAGAATGAATTTGAGTTAACAAGTCAAATGGAATACATTCTATTAGTTGTCTGTCCAAGACAGGACTTACCTGTGCCTCAAATCACACACACTGTGTGTGGATCTTTGTGTGTTGTGTCGTGGGTGTCGGGGTGTCGGGGTGTCGGGGTGTCTGGGTGTCTGGGTGTCTGCCACACAAATCATTTTCAGTTTGTGCAATTTCTATGTCAACTTGTGTGTTGTTGGCTTTTCTTTGCATTTCGATGGGTTCGGCTGCTTGTTTTTCTTTTTTTTCTTCTTTTGTATTTTGCTGTTGTTTTGAGTCCTAACTTTAGCTCGTTGTGCCACTTTTGTTTAGCCGGCTCACACACACAGTTCGTTGGCAATCGTTGTTGCTCGACTGCACTTCCGGCCTGTTGGGGCTACACCGCCATTGACTGTTCAACCATGCAGCTGCATACAAAAACCCATACACGCCCGCCACCCTACACATGCATACAAGCAGGCACACACACACACAGATAGACAGTTTCAGGTTCGCCGGCATATCCGGCAATGGCTTTCTGCCTGGCAATGGACTTTGCCACAGACCGTACCGACGCGCACCGTGGAACAGCGACTGCAAAATGCAACATTTGGAGCACACTTTGGTTCTTGTAACAATAAAAAGTAGGTTCGACGAGTAGGTTCAGCATTAAATGTACAAAAACCAAATACAATTCTCTATGTATTAAATATTAAATATTAAATATCAATTCGCAAATCGAAATTTACAGATTTACAGACACTTTGCACTCGGCATCTTGTTGAGATTTCTGAAGCTCAAAGCTCAACGAAGTCAAGTCAAAAGTTGCTTAATAAAGTTGCATAAATGAATAGATTGCTGGTCGGATTTATAGTAGCAACTCAAATATTGAGATACTTCAGCGTTACCAATCAAAAACTTTGCGACAAATTGTCAATGCTCCGTTTTACGTATCTAATGCAAACATCCACAAAGATCTGAATATTCCAACCATTAAAGAAGAAATAAAGAAAACTAGTAAGAAATACATCGACAGACTCCACAACCACGAAAATAATTTAGCCTTAAGTCTGTTAGACAATAGCCTAACAGTAAGAAGACTGAAAAGATACCACATTCTCGATATCCCTGATAGATAAATCCAACAAACTGAAAAGATGTTATATATAATAGCAGGGCTCATTGGAAAACTGCTATTTCTGTTCATTGAATATTAATTATACAATTTACTTAGTGTTTAAAAAAACAGATTGTAAATATAAAGAGAAAGAGAACAAAAAAAAAAAAAAAAAATCTCAATGACATTTTGTAGACCCAAAAAATGAAATTGAATTTGTTCCACTGTACGTGACATGCACTGCTGGCGTCTTGTTTGCCCTTCTCTTTAGTTATTTTTGGCTCTCTCGTTTTTTTGTAATTTTTGGTAGGAAAGGTTCTCGGGGTTCTCCCCGAGCCTGTCAGCTTTTTCAGCTTCAAACCATTGAAAATTTCTCAGTTGCAACTGCAAATTATGTTGCCTGGTGCTGTTGATTGTTGTTGTCGCTGACAGTGCCTGATAATGGCATACAATGTTTGTTTACTTGCTTTAACATTTGTTGGGCACCCCTGCAGAGTGTATGACGTGCGTGCCAAGAGCTGTGCCAACTGCCTGACAGCCTGAGGAAGAAGCATCGAAAATGCATTGGAAGGATCTTTAGGACCCTTTGTAGATGCATTTGTCCATGGAAGAGCATCAAATGATTCGTGCTGAGTCCTGGCTTTTGCTTTTGCTGTTCATTTTACTCTATTTTCCATTCTGCTGCTGCTGCTGCATGCAACATGCTGACAATGAGACACTTGAGCATTTGGCGCCTGGTTGCATGCCGCACTTTTGCTGCAGTCGCCAGTGTGCCACTGCTGGCATCTCTCTCGCTTTGTCATGTTTGTTTGCTTTTTCGACTTTGACTTAACTTATTTGTTGCTCTTCCTGTTGTTGCCCCCCCCCCCCCCACACACACACACACACACACACACACACATGTGCAGGATGTGGGCGATGTGGCACACTCTCTGCCTGCCAGAGTCGACGCTGTAAAGTGTCGTGTTGGATTTGCGTAATTTATGCTCTATTTGCCTTTCGGCTTCATTTCACTTTTTGCCTCTCCTGCCACGTTTTTCCAAAAAGTATTCAAAGCCCTCCCCCCCCCCCCCCCTTGCTGCTCAGCTCCTCCCTTGGGTGTCCTGTCCAGGACACGCTAAGCTGCATGGGTTTCGGTTAAGCCGGCTGTCGACGACAGCTCGTGTGCCCTGTACTGCCTCGCTTGTTGGCTCCATTTGGGTGCCTCTTCTGTTTCCATATCTGTGAGAGTAACGGGCCGCTGTCTGGGACAAACTAAAGGATAACCAGAAGTACCACTTGAAGGCTCTGCCAGCAATGCAATGGCATGACCAATATTCATGGCCAATAAATGTGTTGAACAGAGCTGGGACTCTGACTAATTCCTCCTTCAATGTTTCCCATCTTCAAACTGAAATGCTTCCATGTTGTGTGTACCGCAGCGACCAGAGAGGACCCTCGCCATCTCCGCTTCAGCCCACAGGTGGCTGGGCTTTGGCTTTGGCTTTGGCTTTGGCTTCGGCTTGGGCCAGGACTTTGCTTCATTATTTTTATAGCATTGCTCAATATGAGAACTCAATAAATTGTGTGCCGCCGCCGCCGCCGCAGTGCGAGGGGCAATTTCAACAGGCGATTAGTTAGCCAGGGGTTTTCCCATCGAGTCGACTTGCGCAACAGTTGGAGCTGGCCCACCCCCCGCCTCCCTCTGCCTAATGGGTTTTACATAACACACACACACACACACACACACGTTGCAAATAAATCTAAATGCAACAGAGAGAGAGTGAGAGTCGAGGCAGGAAACCTGCTGAAAAATCCTTTGGCAAATAAAATTTACATAGACGAAGAGACGAAGAGATTTCTACACCTATTTTCCTGACGGTCTCCATGTAGCCCACTGCCTCATGTGAATTTATTTGAAAATTTATTGAGCTTTCGTGTTAACCATGCATAATTAAGTTTTTCCCCAAGTGAAAAACTTCCAGCCCGGTCCACCCTTGTGGGGGGCGACTCTTTTTCATTGGCTTTTCCTTTTCGGTTGCTCGGCTTCTGGGTTTTTTTTGTTGTTTGTTTGCTGTTCCTTCCACCTTGTTGTGTGGGCAGAGCCCTGAAGATAGGCTTTTGTCTTTATTTACGAGCCAAGTGCATGACCTGGCGTCACCCTTCATCCGCTCCGTTTCGATCCATGCAAAATCATTGTTTATGCGTTCCAGGGGCAGGAACTGGGCCAGGGGCTGCTGAAATCAAGTTATCCCTTTCCGACGGTGGCCTGTCTTGGCCCCTGGAATTATTATTCCTGATTGCATTTATTTGCTTTATTTCATTCGCCGGCGAACGTTCATCTATAATGCATGCATGTCCCCTCCAGCCTCAGCCTCAGTCTCAGTCTCAGCCTCAGCTTCAGGAGTTTTTGCTTCGAGTCCTACTTCCATGCTCCTGCGCCATTCTCCTCCATCTGGCTGCTGCTGTCTTCTTTCTTCTGTCCTCATCTTCGTCGCTTTTTGTTGCTTAAGTGAAATGCATAAAAATCAAATAATTTTCCTGTTTTTCATTTGCTTTGCTCCTCCAACCTCCAACCTCCAACCTGCCTCTTTCTTTTTTTTCTCTTACTTTATTTCCTTCGTTTTTCTATATATATTTTCTTTATATATATAAATATATATAAATACACACTTTTTGCTGCTGCTGTAGCTCCATCCCGGAGACGGCATTCGAAATGTTAAAAGTAATTTCCTTGACTATAGTTGATAGTCCCGTTGCTGCTCCTGGCTCCTGGCTGCTGGCTGCTGGCTCCTGGCTCCTGGCTGCTGCTGCTCTTTGTGCAGCAACCTTAAACTATGCAACACATTTCCTTCAAGTAGCTTACAGACCTTGCCACGACAGGGGGCCGCGGACCAGTGGCACATCTTGGTTAGGCAGTCTCGGTGCTGGCGTCTAGGTAAAATGCGATGCCATAAGGAAGGCTTGCGCCAGACTTCAGACTGCCTCCCGCCGTGTGGGCTGAGTTGCCTAATAGAGTCGAAATTGAAGCTTAAGTTACCAAAAAATACCAGTCAGAGCCAGTCAAACATCGCACAAAGTGCCGTGCATTTGCACACCATAAATTGAAATATTGAATGCATAAAATTCTTTTGCAATGCTCAAGCGAGGGAGAGAGACATTGTTCAATGTCTAGTATCCCTGTCGATGGCGCATAAGAACAGTTCAGAATGCCCCCAGCCAATCTGTCGCTAAGTAAGAACTTAATTATCCTGAAACACCACCAAAACCAGTGGCCTTTGGTTGCTTCTGAAAGGGCAGACGAGCCTACAATGTATAATAAAACTACCTCATGGACACCACAATCCAAATGCGATTGTAAATATTTGCAAATTAATGCTTTAGCTCATGTTTCTGTTTTGACTCATCTTGAGAGCTATTATCCTGCATGCTACATTCGTCGATAAGAAAACACTCCAAAACATATCGATTACCTAGCGAGCAGCTTCCGCTTCCTGCGCACCCGAACAGAACAGTTCGGTGCACTCTATGCCAGGGGCCGAACAAAGCATCATGAATCGATTTGGTTGTCCGAGGAACTGTTATGCAAAATAGAAATTACACACCCAAGGCGAGGAGTATATTTGTTGGTCCATTCACAAATGCTTCCTCGAGTGAGCACAAAACGGCTTAAATGATTACCAGTCAGCCAGTCAGCCAGTCAGCCAGTCGCTCGATATGCAGGCCAATTAGGTGTGGAAGCAACTATTCTGCATCGATGCTTGGACTCTTATCAATTGTGTTTGCTGTTTCATTTAATTGAATACTTTTCACGAATTTAATTTCATCTTCGGTGCAGCTCCTACAGCTCCCACAGATCCCAGAGATGTGAGCAGATTATGATGGCTGGCTGGCTGGCTGGCTGGCATCATGCGTGGCTGCTTAGCGAATGGCCGGAACAAAAGTTGTCACTTGGTTGTCAAATGGAGAAAATAAATATACTTATGGCACAGCACAACATATACTCGTAAGCTGTGTGCGTGTGTGTGTGTTGGTGGCGTTAAGCAACTTGTGTTGTTATCCTGGCTGCTGCTGCTGCTGCTGCTGCTGCTGCCTCCTACTGTTATCCTTGTTGATGGTGTCACGCGAGACTGGGCGCGCATTTTCAATAATAATCTCTTGTCCGAAGGAAGCATAAATGTCGCATTAAAATTTCACGCACTTGTGGCTTAATCACGCAAAAGGATAACCGGCATGCTTCTGCCACAGGATGGACCTGACATCAGCACTTGAATAGTCTCTCCCATCTGCCATCTCTGGCTCGTTGTTATCTGCGACTTGGACCTCCTAGGCACATAGGCATTACTTGTTTTGCGGTTTTTATTCTATCATGCTCATGTCAAATGGGCTCAGCATTGTCACATTCTTAGCCACTGCTGAAGCTGAAGCTGAAGCTGCTGCTGATGCTCCTCTGCTGGCTCAGCAGCGCTGCCTGTCAGCCCACCACGCCCAGACTGCTTTTCAATCTCCATCTTCAGCCGTATAGTCCTGGCTCTTGTCCTCCATCTCAAGCTGCCAGTTATTACACATTGCGAGCGTCTTAATGTCGGGGATTGTCTGACAAAGGCAACGGCAAAGGCAAAGGCAAAGGGGAGGCTGCTCCGAGTATTTTGGCCCCGATTCAACAACAGGTGGCACAGATGCCCAGCTCAAGAGTTGCCTATGGGCGGTCCGAGCGAGGTCAACCAACCGAGCATCTAACCATTTTTCAGCCCAGGCGAGAAATGATTCATACTTGCGGTCTGCAGCAGACATTCGTATCCTCTAACCGCAACAATTATTACCACAAGACCGACATAAAATGCCAAAAGGGAGAGACTGTGCGGAGGATGCAGCTGGAGGCTGTGGGAAGAATTCAAAGAAAATATCACTGGATCTGGAAAGAGCATTGCAGCTTCGTTTTGGCCATGAGTTATTCGGTTGGATGTCACTTGCAACATTTTATAAGTTAGGGCACGTTTCAGTGGTTGGCTATCCCAAAACTCCATTCCCAGCTCCAGCTTTCTCTCTCTCTGTGTGTGTGGTCAAGCCGACTGCAGTCAACTGCCGCAATGAAAACGCAAAGTTTATGTGCTAGTAAATGAAAAGAAATAGAAGAAGTAGTTGCCTGCCTGCAAATGAAGACAAAACCTCAAAACGAAATCCCAGAACTCAACTGCCACTCAACTGCAATCTTTTGGGTAGGTGATGTGGTGCCGAGCCATTGGTAGATCACAAATTGAATTATGGCCAAAGAGCTGCCAACCATTTTGTCGGCTAATTCGATTAGAAAGTTACAAATGTTGATTCAATTTGCATTGCCAATTAAATGGCTCCCCTCATCGGCGGCCCACATCTCATTTCTAGTCATCTTCTGAAGCTGTGGGGCGGCACAAACCCTACAGATACTCGCCCCATAATTGCATTAGTAGCCATATTTGGTTGTCATCAACGTTTTTGGCCCCAAAAGATTTTGCCAACTGACGTCGGCACTTTTGTCGCAACGCCCACATGGCCGGGGCAGCACTTTGGCCCAGCATTTGTGGTCAAAATAATTTTGTAATTTCGCCTCTTATTTATTTACAAGTAACGAGTTTGGGCCAAGTCCATTATGGGGCGGGGCACAATTCTTGATGATGGGCGACCGAAAAGTTGTTGTGTGTGGGGAGGCTTGATGAAAGGCCAAGTCAAATGCTTCACTGATTACAAGGGACACATCCTTCGGAAAAGTTTACGTATGATTTGCTCAGAAAATTGAAATTTGCGGTGGAAGCAAATAGCCAGCCTGCCAGCCTGCAAATCATTACTACAACCATCACCACACGTCCGCATGGCCGCATTGCCGCATTGCCGCAATGCCTCAGCCGAGCTGGTCGTACGATTTGCATTTCAATTATGTTCAAATTGCATCTTCCATATCCAAGGACATGTCACATACGTATTCGCATTATTTAAATGAGTACACCCAACCCCAATCCTTTTTCACTCGGCCTGCATTCAATTAGCTCTTAGCCTGCATCGATGACAACCTCTAATAGGGTTCTAATTGATTTCCTTAAGAATTTAACAATGTTCTTTCTTTGATTCTATTTCATATATTTCCATATTTTTATTGAGACAGCAATTTTTTGGCTCTCCTTCACTTTGCAGGCTCGAAACATAAACAACAAAAAATTATATATATATGCAACTACATACGAGTATATCGAGTGTTATGGATAGATCGTCTACCAAATGTAGTTGTCGTATCAGTATCAGTGTATGGTGGAGGCTCCCTTCAAGATATCGTAAAAAAAAAAAAAAAAAATAATTGGTTACAAATATATTTTTTTTTTGTATTCTGGAATTGGCCGTGGCCAGGGGCAGAGCATCGCGTCGTTAATGTTTATGTGTGTATTTATTATGGTTTAGCTTCAACTTAGTCTAGTGTCTTTTTGGTAAGTATTTTCTTGATGGGTTTCTGCTCGAATTTCCCACGAATTTGAATAAATAACATATTAAAAAAAATTTAAATTAGAACAAAAAAAAAAAACGTAGAAATTAAAGCTGGAACAGACACATAAAAAAGGATGCCTAAAAGCTAAACAAAAAATGTATGCGAAAATCTCAAAGACTCTCTGCCAATAAAAGGTGTGTGTGTGTGTGTGTGTGTGTGATGGTTGTGTGGGTGTGATGCTTGAGGCACTTAAAACTGTTTTGATTGGGCGGGGAATCCTAGCAGACGAGACGCTCGTTGTCGGGTTGAAAGATGCGGTCATGGTTCTCGATCAGCACCTTGGCCAACATATTCATGCGGCCAATATCCAGCTGAATCTGATTGGCACTGAGCAGGCAGGGGCCCCAAACGATGGCCAAATTGGTGGAGGGCATGCGATTCGAGGCGCTGGCAGCAGCCACTCTGAAAAAATACCAAAACAGATCGAGCAGTTAGTGTGGGTGGGAATCGTACATTTATGCATATTTGTATCACTCGAGCAAACCTGGTCAAATGCTTGATGAGGAATCGGAGCGTGGATCGATTCGGTTCGGGCATCTCATCAAAGGCCAAACGCATCCGCTCGATGGCCGCATCATCGCTGAGACTGCGGCCCAGTCGCTCGTAGGCCTCCTGGGTTATGAGCGGAGCCGAAAGCTCGCGAAAGAACTGCTTGTGCAGGCTGGTCAGTGTATGGATGTCGTCGGTGTGCAGGAATCGCGGATCGTACAGATGCGTCAGCTTTTTCTTCAGCTCATCGACCAGCACCTTGTTGCCGGAGGCGCGATACAGGCCATCCTGCTCGACGCAGTCCGGGCGCTCGATGTAGGCGCAAACATCCACGACAAAACGCGGCACATTCGGATGATCGGTCATGTTCAGCTCCAGGGCGTTGAGAGGTGCCCCAAAGAGTGGATACTTCGACTGCTCATCCAGATACAGGCTGTTCACCTGGCCGCGCCGTGTGCGAGACTTCTTTTCGCTCTTTGGCGAGCGATTGCTACGAAGGGAATCAAAGGATATAAAAGAGGATTTTGATTGCCAAACAGTGGAAAACACTTACATGCGAAACACATTGCTGTTGACGGCAACTGGAGATCCACCCACATGAAAAGAAAAGACAATTTGTTAGTACAGTTTCGACTTCAATTTCCTTTGCTGCAAGTATATGTACATTCCGACAGTCGCCTATCGATGAGGGGCATGCAAATGGTTGAATGCTTCGCTGACATTCTCTCTGCGTGATACCTCGAACTTCACTGCCCGCCACTACCCAATGTGTACAGATATTTATCACCTTCGCCCTCACAATTCTTTTCAGCCATCCGTTCTCTCCGAGAGATTGTGATTCACTTTGATCAAAAACCACCCACCCATCGATGCGATGCGATGCGATGCGACTCAACTGATTTGCATTATCCAACAAACAGCGCCCAGAAAATTCCCCCTCTTCAGAAAAGTGAAACCCCAGCTTTCATTAACTAAAAGTCAAAACAAAAGAGAGCTCCCAGAGAGTCTGCCCATTCCCATTCATGTACGATCCATACTCGTAGATGTGCTATGTATGGCGGTGGCCTTTTAAGGCCAACTTTGTGCACAGGCTGGGTCTGCGTCTGCGGCTCTCTGAGCGCAACAGACAGTGGGGCGCCCCACTGTTAACCGGTTCGTGGAAAGAGTACTTGAAAGAGTCTTCCAAATGGTATCAGAATATAATCGATAAGACTTAATAGAGATGTATCTCTATAGAAACGACTGCTAAAGGGAAACTCTGCATTTGTAGCAGCTCTAGTTTTCATACTTACACTTCATGCGCATGCGATTCTTGATGGACTTCTTGTCATCCTCGCCGGGCAGATCCACCAGATCCCCAATGGAGGCGCTCTTGAAGCGCTGCAATATCACCGTCTGCTGGGTCTGCTGCACCTCGCTGTCCTCCTGGATCTGCTGTGCCCGCAATATATCAGTCACTGGCACAATCTGCAATGATAGAGTTACAACACGCAATGAATTAATATCTAAAGTTCAACTGTGTTCAACTATGGTAAGAGGAGGAAGTAGGTTAAGATTGTGGGTCGGATGCACACGATTCGAGGAAACGTCTGCACAATTAATTGCACAATTTCGTGACGATGTCGATTGTCGTTGTCGTTGTCTCGTTCTTGTCTTATCTTCTTTAATACCCGCTACTCGAATATTTATGGGGCGTATTCGGTTGCAGCTCGAAGTGGGTTCGAAACGTTTCCTACCCCATAGGGAATATTTACTCTTGATCAGCATCAATAGCCAAGTCAATTTCTGTCTTGTCCGTTTGCGTACCGTGTATAGCCAGTAGTGACGCGTCTCGCAACGTTTCTACTCGTTTTTTTTTTCACTCCAACCTTTCATATCCTCCAAATGAAAAATATTACAAGTAAGTTAGGTGGAGGTTGTTCTTGGCTTTCGTTAGCCGTGGTTTTAGCAATTTTCAAGATACGCGAATTATCTGTGGTTTAATACTAAATATTTCGATAATATTTACCCATTTAAGAAAATTCATCCTGAATGTATATAAAATGTATAATTTAAAGCGTACCAAACACACAGTAGACTATATTCTCCCGCCTTCTTAAATCATTCTTAAACTGTGTGAATCCCATTATTATTTGCACTCTTTCGAAGCTTTATTTTTTGAAGGTGATTCTTGTGTTTCCACACCATCGCTCACCGTTGTTTGCCTTCTCTTCGACCTGCCTTTGCCCGTCATTTCTTATCGCCGATAGGGTCGCAGCTCTCGCTCGCTCTCTTTTATTTATTTATTTTATTTTTGTCTAGGCCACAGCGATATCTCCTATATCCCGAACGAACACCAAAATTGATAAGACAACTCGAATTCGATGTGTAGGCGGCAAAGCGAAAGATCGCGAAGTGGCAACCGCAGTGTGCGGCGTGTAGCATGCAACAGTCTTAAATGCCAAGCCTCGAGCTACTCGAAATGCCACTGGGCGATAAGTTGCACCTGGACTTCCCTTGAATTCTGTCAGCCATAAATACAACAAATTGTTCTCCTTAGAGATAAGCTTTCGATGGAATTATTGTAAGGCAAGCTGCCTACAGCTCAAAATGTCTGTTTGGAAAATCGAATTACACAGAAAGCCAAAGCCCAAACAGTTGGCTAGCTATCAATTATTACAGATGAAATATGGTCTCTTGGATTTACAGAAATATTACTTACATATGTACACATGTATATTTAATTTCTGAAATTATAACACGACTAGAAAGTTTCTTTTACAACTAATTTGTTCGCTGTAGAACCAAATAAAATATGTAGAACCGGATGCATGTATTTACCAATAACAATGTACAAGATAGATATGATATCTTGATACGTTTGGGGCAACAGTTCCACACCCAACGATAAGTAATGGCAAATCATCCACTTGCTTACACAGCAAGTCACAGCCAAGAGACGGTTTGGGTCTTCTAGAATTTGTATATTTTTCGAGTAAAGTTCATTTACAAACAAACAAAATTCGATGGGTATCTACAGCTGTAATATCCTACACTCAACTACTGTACAGTCGCACTCATACCTGGCCCCCTGCCAATTATCGCTTGATAATTTCAACAAATTAGAGCTGAGGCACGCCGTTTTCAAAGATTAGACTCAATTTGTTTTGGCTAATTTTTTGTTGTTGTTTATAGCACGTTTATACCCTGGTGTTTTTTAGTGGGGTTGCTCTCGCTTTAAGTAGTTTTTCGTGTGTGTTTTTCTTAGTTTTATAATTTTTGCACACACAAACAAAACTAAACAAAACAAAACTTAACAAAACATTTCAAAATATTGCGTTTTAGTAGCGAGAAAAGCCGAATGCTAATCTATGGTGGATCGAGGCACTCGATACCCGATAACCAAAACCAACCTCAAGTCGAACGGCAATGATCACGCGACGTGGCATCTCGATGCAATTGTGGATCTAATATTCGTGGAGAGTGTACTTCCAGTGTATAAACAATAAGAGCAATCGGATAAAAGAAGGCGAACAGAAATTACTTAATTGTTTCGACCTCGAATGGGGCGCGTTGCTCTGCTTTACGGGACGAGGTGCTCCACAATTGGCACGAGTTGTGCTCCTCGCCATCGCCCTCGCCCGCAGATACCAACCAGCAACCAGTATCTGTATCTGTATCTGTTTCTGTTTCTGTGTCTATGTATCGCCATTCGTCCGACATGCGTATGATTCACTGAGCAAAACCCAGAGCGGAACCGAGGCGAACCGAAACAACAAAAATAAACAAATAAAAAACCAACACATAGGCGCATTTGACCTTTTCGGTTTATTTTTTCTTTCCTTTGAATATATTTTTTGTTGGTTTTTTGTCTTGTCTCATCATCGCTGATTTGAGCTTCCCCCAAAAAGTTGGCACCGGTACTTGACGCCGACTGCGACCCCGAAGTAATGCTCCATTGGAGAGAAGAAACAGCTCCGGTGTGTGTGGGCGGAACAGTCATGAGCCATGAGCCAAGTGCCATGAAAATCAAGTCACTGCATCCGGCAGTGATTTTTGGGGATTTATTGGAAGGCCCAGCGACTGGCTTGAACAAATAACCGATCAAAATTCTGCTTAGTTGAGTGTCTAAAAAAATCCTAAAGAAAATGGCTCAGAAGTCGAATTATAACCGAATTATACCTAATTTTTTGATTGATTTAAGCATTAAGCATTCCACAAAGTTCAAGAAAGTTCACGTCCAATCGTATTCCCAAACCCTCAACAGAGTCTATTTATAACCAAAAGATACAAAGATAAATGATCCATTGATTTGATGATAGTGTTATGCCAACAAAAAAGATATTTAAGGTTCTCAATTAAAGAAAAATATATTTTGAGGAGAAAATGTAAAAACGATTCGTCATATACTCGTATCTATGTATATCCGAATATAATCTGCATTTCTGCATAAAATGCAATAAAAAATATCTCAATCAAAGCAATAAAATCTGAGCAAAGGTTCGACGTCGTTTGGGGTTCGTTGTGGGGAAGAAACTCAAAATCAACAATCGATGGAAGCCCAGAGTTACAGCAAATTATTTGACTAATGACTAACCCAGCCAATTAAATGCTGATAAAAGCGACGAGCGGAGGAGCTCGCGCTGTGAGGCTGGACAGGAAATTCTCGGCAAGAGAGAAACCAAAACCAAAACCAAAACCAAACATACATATATCAGCAAAAAAGAACAACGAAGCTTTACAGACCCTTAAATAATGTTATTTTCGAGTTATTTGTGTTAATGTCCCCAGAGAGCTCTCAATATTCCGATTGCGGACTCGAAATAAAACAATAAAATATCTAAAAGAAAATGAATTACCCAGTGTGAAAAATATATGCAAAAACACTCTGACAGAAAGAGCATTTAAAGGCAGCAACAAATGGCTCTAAAGCTGAGAAGATAACCGGTTATGCTAAATGTTTATAGCAATAATCACAGCATTTTACTATAGATACAAAGATACACATGCGCGGCACTAAATATGTAGATACTTTATCGGAATATACATGAATTTGTACGCCAAACAAAAAACAAACAAGATACATAAAGCCAAATAAATAAATAATTGTCGTTCGGGGACAGGGGGCAGGCAACACAAAATCCGAAATGTGAATCAACGTTTTGTTTTTTGGCGGCGTACCGCCTGGGAAGAGACCGCAGAGATCTGGGGGGAACCGACTGGAACGACTCGCCCCCTCTATGAATTTCCATGGAAATTCGCATGCAACGGCGATGCGACTGCAAATGCAGCAAACAGCCAAATGAAAACAACAAACGTGAGAGGCAAATAAATAAAATTATATTATGCAGAAAGCGGCAACAACAATTGTGTACGAATACACACACACACACACACACACTCATGCTGTACGCGTTTTTATAAACAAAGTGCAATCAAAAGCCGAATGGAAAGGGTAGAACACGAACAAAGTAAATGGGATTGCGGACAGAGGCGACTACTTAATTCTCTTACACGTTTGTGGGAGACTCGAAATTACACTTTGATCCACAGACGTAATGAAGATAAAGTTTATATACTCGAGTTTCCTGTACCTCGACAACTAATGGAATTAAACATATCATTTTTACATGGCATTACAATGGTAATTTAAAGTATTAAAACAGCAGACAAATGGGGGAAAATATTTAAAAATTGGTTTATCGCTACCTAAATTCGAATCTGAAGCAAGTTTAGATCCCAGCAATAATATTTCCAAATCTTAATTCTCGAGTAATACCACAGGCAGGGGTAAGGGTATACCTGAGAGCTTCCACCCGGCACCGGTTATAATGTTGGGTAACTGCTTCAGGGGGCTTTGTCTCCCATAGATCGGTAGGCAAAACAATCGAAAGCTCCCTGCACCATCTAGGATCCGTGCGCCACAGATACACAGAGATACATGTTGCCCCACGTTTAATTGATGTGACAAGTGACAAGTGTGGAAACAATGGGATATCCCCCGCCACAATGCACAAAGCAGTACAGCGAATTTTCATAGTAACTTCAGAGAGTGGTTCCCATGGGCATGGACCGTTCCCGTTCCCGTTCGAGTTGGAGTTCCCTCTCCCTTACTGCATATACTCACCATATCTTCCTCGTCCTCGCAACAGTTGACATCTTGAAGGTTCGCCCGCCAGGCCAGCACCGAATCCGTAACGAGAAGCCGGGCATTGGAGCGTACCCTTAGCTTGCGAGCGGAACGGGGTCCAACGCCTCGCTTGGTGACGGCCGCTGCGGCCAGGCAGGCCAGGGCCCAGTCCTCTTTGAGGGGTGTCGGAATGGCAACGAATTTCGATTGAGAATGCACCACCTCGCCGTCCTCTGCCGCATCACAGCTGCAGCCGCTGTCATCATTGATGGTTGGCAGTGGCAAAGATGGTGGTGCAGCAACAGCAGGCGGCAGTGGCATCATCTGTGGTGGCTGTTGCTGTTGCTGTTGCTGGTACTGGTACTGCTGCTGCATCTTTGGTGCTTTTGGAACTGACAGAGGCTGTGCCAGTGCCGGTGGCGGTGGCGGTGGCGCTGGACGTCGGATGCGTGTCATGAATCGCTGATGGACTTGGGAGAGCTGGTAGTCATAGAAGATGGCGCTATATTTCTTTGGTTCCCTTATGCTATAGAATATGCAAATGTTTCGCAGCAACGGGTGCACCAGTGGAACCTTTTGTTGTGACGATAAGGGTCGCATGCGGGAGGCGCTGCCCGTACTGCTCATGGACCCCATGGTGGCTGTGCTATTCGTGACTGTGCTGCCGAGACTCAGCGTCTCCAGGGTATCCTCCATTTCTAGCTGGTATTCGGGGTCCTCCTCCTCCTCCTCCTCCTCCACGTGGGCATTCACCTCGGGGGCTACAACCTCTTTGCTGTCCCGCGAGAACATAAACTCCACATCCGTCTCCCAGGCGCCCTGGTCCATCGATGCTGTCGGCGATGGCAGTGGCGTTGGCAGCATCATTTTTGAGCGCTTAGTCAGCGTCGATGTTGAGAGCTTGTATCGGACTCCGGCTGCAAAGACTGCTGCTGCTTGGATGGCCATCACATCGGCATCAGCATCAGTGTCTGCGTCATCATCGAAGTCATCTTCTACCTCCAGCTCCTCCTCTTCCTCCTCTTCATTGTCTTCATCATCATCATCATCATCGTCATCCTCCTCATCATCATCCTCGTCTTCCTCGTTGTCATCTCCTTCTCCAAGTTCTGGTGCTGCTCCCGCCACTGCCGCCACGGCAGTAATATCTTCTTCAGTTTCAAGATCTTCAACAGGAGGCTCCAGGGTCTTGAACTGCCAAATGGGTTGATAAATGGACTCCTCTTCCCCATAACTTGCATCGGAGTGTCGTCTGTCCTCTTCGTCCACCTGATTGTTGTTGTTGCTCTCCTTTTGAGGATTACTCAGAGCGGTGTTCGGATTCCGTACGGGCACTTTCGGAGCCGGACGACGCACCTTGATTACACAGTTCTACAAGAAAACAAATATTCGTTGATTCTCAAACCCAATCTCACTGGGACCTTCGAAATTGACTCGAGAAGCGACCGATAAAGAACATTAATGTGTGGCCATGCTTTCATAAAGATTTTTCGATGTTTTTAAAAAAAAAAAAAAAAAAATGAAAAGATTATCAATAACTTTAGTCCTACAAAAAATGTTTGAATTACATTTAATGTGAATGACTGACTCATGAATTAATCAATTATAAAACCCGATATGCAGTGATTAAGATTCAAATTTACATTAAAATTGCACTCTGCCACAGATATGTTCTCTATCTCATTAAAATCGTGATTGTTATGTGCATTCGTAAATTGATTTCATTAATTTTGTATCTTTATCGTGATGCTGGCAACACTCTCATTCCTCTCTTCCTATATTTTGTTTATTTTTTATCACCTGGCAACACTCCACACAATCACCGAAAAAAAAATAGTACATGCATAAATGTATAAAGTTTTAATTAACTAATTAATTCTTTTATGGTTATCTCATTATTGCAAATTGTTTATATTACAAATTTGTTTGCTTTTCAAACACATTTTTTTTCTCTCGCGTTTGTTTTTGTATTAATTTTCCAATTGGAAAAACGAGAGCATTGCCGTCTCACCAACGTTGGACTTTTCGGAGTCAATTTCGAACTGCAGTGAACCGCAACATAACAAATAGGAGGGGTGTTGAGTCAGGAGGGGTGTGGATGGGTGGAAAAAAAAGAAACAATTTTCTTTTATTGTTGCTTTAATGAGTGTTGACCTGAGTAATTAGTTGCTGCTGCTGCTGCTGCTTGCTGGCAATGCCATGCTCTTTGCTGCCGCTGCTCCCACTGCTGCTCTCATTGTCGCTGCTGCTACTGTTGTTGTTGCTATTTATCCGCTGCTCAGCGTTGCCGCATGGCTTGGGCGCAGCCATCACAGTGCTGTCGCCGATGCCGTTGCCGTCGCTGTCAACGTCGCCGTCTACGGCCTCCGCGTTTGTGCTATTGTTTTTGTTATCGCGAACGCTTTCCGATCGCTGCGCGCTCTCACTCACACTCGCGTTCGCGCTCGCTTCACTCTCTTGTGGATCGCTGGGTCTGTTTCCGTTGTTGGTCGCGAGGGGAGGAGGAGGCCTGGCGACCATCGCAGCACTAACGTCGTCACTCGGCGGCTTCGTTGGAAGTAATGAAAGCGATTGCCTTGGAGCCGGTGGAGCCGCCAACGCCGGCGCAGCTGACTCACAGCGCCGCCGCTGCGCTCTCAGCCAGCACTCAATATTAATGAACTGGCTCTCTTGGTGCCGCTCTCTGAGCATGCGCAATGATTTGTCATAGAAGCACATGAAGCCACGCACACAGACATTCAGGCTGGCGGCCAAAGCTGCGCTCTGCATGAGCTGCCAGAGCGAGATACGGCCATTCAGTGGTGGGATCATCAGCACCTCCAACGGGAGGGGCTCTCTTAGCTGACAGATGTGGCTCTCTTGTGCTGGTTCTTCCTCTAGTCCGCTCAGAAATTCATTGACAAAATCGACATTCAAATGTTCATTGATTCCGCATCGACGCTGATCCTTGATCTCTTCCCAACCCGGGCTGTCTGCTTCCTGCTCTCTCTGCTGCGGCACGATTGTTATAGTAAGCGGGGGCGGCTCTCTTTTGAGCTTAAGCTTTCGCTTGAAGTCATCCACGAGCTGTTGCTCCGGCTGTGCTTTGCTGAGTTCGTTTTGCTTTTCGCCCACCCTTCTCAGGGTCACCTTCTCCGTTTCCAGCTCCCGCTCCCGCTCCTTCTCTCGATCGTAGGAGGGCGGTACACTCTTTGGCTGCTGGCACACGCCCTCGCCGTCCTCGTAGTTGTGCACCTGATGCCGCAGTGTGGCCATCCAGTGGCAGATGCTTTCGTTGAGGAACAGTGACGCCTGATCCTCTTCAGCATGAAGCAGGCGAATGCGTGACACGCGCGGCTTCTTGCGCTGCTCCTTCTCCTGCGCCACCGCAGCTGCCAGCGCCTCTCTGTCCGGCTCTCGTACCCTCCCGTAGATATGCTGGTCGCTCTGGCTGCTCTGCAGTTGGCTCTTCAGCTCGCAGATTCGCTGCATATCGAAGGTCTCCTGTGTGCGGAACACCTCTCCCACATTGTGAATGATCTCGAGGGAGCCCGGCCCTGTTCTTGGCTCTCTTTGGAATATCTTCCTTTGCAGCGATCCGGAGCGATTCAGCTGCTTGAGAGAGCCAAAGAATCGGGTCAATGTCGCGGCACTGGATTTGGAGTAATTGAGAAGAGTCCTTGATTTGCTTTTCACCCCCGTTGTGGTCGGTGTGGGTGACTTTGTCTTTGGCTCCGGAGTATCAGTGGGCGTGGACATTTCCGCCTGACAGTGACACTCCCCCTCATCGCTGTAGATCCCTCGACATATTTCGCAGATGTTTTCGTAGATATTCCCCTCGCTGGGTGATGGCGGGGTGAGATGAGTAGATGGGAGCACACCGCCGCTCACAATGCACTGACAGAAATGGCAGTAATGACCTTGGGCGGCAAAGACGCCATAGCCACAACCGCGGCAGAGATTCTCATAGAGGGCTTCGCGGGGAAAATATTTACGGAGTTCTGGCAAAGGGATGCACAATGGCTGTGGTGTGGCGGGTGAGGGAAGATTCTCATAAATATGCGCTCCCCCTCCTTCACCGTTCCTTAGCGGCAGACGGAGATTGTCGTTGATGTCCGCGTTCCGTTCGATTTCACTCACTTTCTGTGGCATTTCTCCTATTCGAGTTGCACTCACTCTCTTTCACAACAAAACAAACACAAGAACACGCACCGAACACGCTTATCGCATTGTTATTGTGAATTTCTGCTGCTGCTGCGTTATAATTCATTATAGATGATAGACACAGAGAGAGAGAGAGAGAGAGAGACAATAAGAGGGCAGGGAAACAAAAGCGGTTTAATTTAAATGGAAGCAATTGAAACTGTTAAATGCAGTTCTCTCTATCTACATACAAATGTATGGTATGCATGTATCTCTCGTACTCCTTTGCTTTGACTTTCATTATCTCAACGGCAAACACACATGCTCACACACAAACACACAACTAAGAGTCGGCTGCACTTCTGCTTCAACGTTGTCTTGTCGTGCTTAACCCTTACGCCTAGTACTCAGATCCCATATAAGTGTACGCCAGCAAAATCAGTGGATGATATTCGAAAGAGGCCGACAAATTTTGTATCTCTCTCAATATTAATGTTCTTTAATAGTATGTGCTAAGTTATTTAAGAAATGTGTAGCAGTATCTACTTATTAGTGAACCAATTGTCAGCACATTCATTGTCCCACTCCAGAACTTCCCAGTATCACCGCTGAAGGGTTAACACTGTTTTCTTCCCTTTGTCGTTGTTTCTTTTTGGGTGTGCTTTGGTTTTGTTTTCTTTGTAGCTCTTCGGTTTTACGAAGCGGGGACAGGGACCCTGGCGATTAACCCCAACAACCATGATGATGATTATAATAATAACGATCATGATGATGATGATTGTGGGGATGATGAGTCATACAAAAGCAACGATACAGCAAAGCATGTCGCCGCCGGCGTAGCTGTCGGTCAGGGGCGTGTCGTTTGATTCGTTGATTAATGTAAGTCCTATAAATGTATATTCCTTTTTCTCTGTTTTACTTTTCCAGGATTCCAATCCTGCATATCTCCCCATTGAATTGACATATTTACTATTGGAACTTGTATATTGAATTGAAATTTTGTTTTCGCCAGCAGTACGGAATATCGAGTTCCTAATTTTTGAGCACAATTTTAGTGTTTGTGATTATACATCTGGCTCATCATCAACTGTTTGGTATTTAAGCGACAAGTCAATGAAACGATCGAAGGTAATGAAGCCACTATTATCAGGATCGGCTTCACGCATCATGGCATCCACAACGAACGGGTCCAGCGGTAAGTCCTGAAAGGCGTTCTCCATGCCCTCGCAAAGTTCGCCGCGGGACAGACAGCCGTCGCCATTCCTGTCCATCTCGTCGAAGGCGTCCCGCAACAGCATACCACGTTTGGCCCTCTGCAGCATGGTACAAAAGGTCTCAAAGTTGAGGGAGGCGTGGGTTTTTGGGTCAGCGACCATCAGCATGTCGTGCAGTTCTCTGGTGCTGGGACAGAACCCCAACTCACGCATCACATTGCCCAGGGTTTCGATGGTTAGGTGGCAGCTCTCGTTCTCGCTTTTCGGCACATTGCCGATCTTCTTTAGGCAGGTCCGTGGCTTCTGGCTCATCTTGAATTTGGCGTTGTCGGACTTGAACACTTTTTAATTTCGTAAATTTGAAGATTGGAAATGTGTGGATTTTGTAACAGCAAAAATTCTAAAAATTCTAAATATTTTCGAACCTACTTCACTGGCGGAACAACAACGAATGATTTAATCCAACGAAATGATTTATAAAGTAGTGCTTTCTGCCTACTTTGCCTTGGAAAATGACTGCAAACCGAATAAGTACGACCAAACAAACAATAGGAAACAGCATTTCATCGTTCTGGGATCTTCGATCTTTTAACACTTTAGTTATTATTTTGTTTGAGATAATGGATCTATAAATATTTAAGTCCTCTCCACTGTCCGTCCACTGTCGAAATTTTCAATGCCCAAAGACTAAGCAGCAGCCAGGCATCACTCATCCTTGGCTGCATCTCTAGAGTACGGATATTATTGTCAGTTCCATGGGAAACTCTGACTAGCATACTTTTAGGCAGCGGGTCAAGAGAGGCTTGACCCCGCGCTGGAACAAAAAAAAAAAAGCGAAAGTCCAGACTAGTGTGGCGCCACAGCGGGGCATGGAAGTTCTAGATTGTACATTTTCTCTGGATTTGCCTATGGCGCAATGAATCATCGCTGCGAGTATAGTGTGTGACAAATGAATGGAGTGGACGATGAATGTTTAAAAGTGTAATTGAACAAAAAACCATATGCACATTTACAAGGTTTGGCTTTCTTGATTATTCCACATTCTCTGTCCTAGCTATCTGCTTATCTCTCTTTCACTCTCACTCTCACTCTCTCTTTCAATGGAATCTACATATTGTATGTATGTAAATCGTATTGCTGTATATACTTGATCAATCAAGCGATTTACAGCCACATTAGCAATTTCCGCACACAAACATCAAATAGATCGCTGCACCGAAAAAATAAACACAAAACACAAGCGAAATTCCCGGCCGCTTGCTGATAAGCTCGACTTGGCGCACATCCGCGAGCTATCGCTCTATACGTAATGGAGTAGTACCGAGTTCTAGTTTCACAGGGGTTTTCGAGCTAGAGAGCCATACGGTTCGGCTTAGTTCGGGATCGAATCGGATCGGTTTGGGAGAGCTCCAGGCTCGCGACGCGTTCGCGAATTTAACAGAATTTCAACTGAAATTGAACTCAAGATGCCGTTGAACATTTTTTCTTGGGTGGCGGTCGTGCCGCTGACGTCGCAGTCGCAGTCGCAGTCGCACACACAGACCCCTACGCCAACGTCGACTTCAACGATGCCGACCCCCGGTCACCCACAGAAAGCGAGCGATCCACACTATCCAACGCGAAATGGGATGGAAAACAAAGTTACACTTGGGGCACGACATTTCCGTTTGTTCGTTGTACAAACTTCCCGTACTTCTTACAATGTGTTTCCCAAGAGATATGAAATTAATAAAAAAATGAATTATTATAATTATACTATAATTTATTTTCCAAGTGTATTAAACGCTGTTTAAGAAATATACATTTTTGTTTAGCTTATCACTATCGGAATTTCAATTAACTTGTAGCACAGTGCTGGCCAGAGATCAAGTATGGGGAGGCAAGGCCCAGAAGCAGCATGTGTGTAATGGAACATGGGCAACATGTGTGTCTCTGTTCCATATCTCTGTGTTTATCTGTATCAGTAGTAATTGTGCGACTGTGTGTGTACGTGTGTGTAAGAGCTGGGGGTGGGGCGTGGCAGCGACAAAAGACGCTTTTTATGCGCAAAGCCCATTGCCTAATTAAGCATATCGAATACAGACCCCTAAGGGGCTAGGCTGGGGTTTTCGGAGAGAATTAACATCATGATGAATATTAAAATATTGCATGATGGTACATACATATGTATGTAGGCTTGTATTACAATAAGAAGTGTATAAGCCGATCGTAAACCTTGTTTTTGCAACTCGATATATGGACATGAGAGTCGTGTGCGTACTTTGAACCTGCACCAAGTCCCCATCCCACAAATGCAAGTAGATCTACATATTTACATATTTGATATGTGTATTTTACTGTTTCCACCAAGTGTCCGATATTTGAGGAATGCCCTGAGGCCGGGTCCTGCCACTGGGGGCTGGGCGCAAAGCAAACACAGATGTGTGCAATAGAATAGAACAGAATACGGGAAAACATCAGAGAAAGGGTGTGTGATGCATATCTGGGGGGAGTCCGGAACTTCTGAGGAATCGCAATGCTTTCGGTGCTCAGCATTATGTTCGCTTGATCTTTGAACTAAATTAATTAAGCACAATGAACACAATTGTTGCTGTTGCCGGGGCGCTGCTGTCAGCATCAAATGTATCCACCAGATACACAGTAGAGAGCGAGCGTCAGCCACACATTGAAAGAAAGAAAATGCATTCAGCTTGTGGCCAATATTCTTGGGGTGTTTTTTTCGATTGCCCTGGAAGCGAATATGGGAGACTTTAGCTTACGTAACTCTTATGTATATACATATGTATTTTTTATATATTCCATGGGATATACATATTTATTTTGTTTAAGTTTATCCCTAATCATAATTAGTTTTTATTGTTTTCTTTTGTTTTTAGGGTATTTATCTATCACTACGCTTGGGGGAATATTTTCTTAAGAATATCTGTTTTTTTCGCTTTCAATTTCCGTTGTTTTCTCTTTTTGTCTGTTTATGGTTCTGCTTTTCTGCGGGTCTCTGCCGAAAGGGTGGCTGCACGACTCACGTCTCATGGCCCATGTCCATATCCCTGTCCAGGGCCCAAGGCCCAGTCGCGCCTCGGGTCTGGGTCTGGGTCTGTGTCTGAGTCTGTGGCAGATCAGGCAGCATTATGTTTTTGTCTCGGTAATGAGTTGGCAGCGCAGTCGTTAACAGCAGAGGCCGCTACTGCGCCGCTGTATGCTGTATATGTGTTGGTGCGAGCTATCCCATTCCCCTCTCTCTCATTAATACTTTTTTTGCTGCCACGTTCTTCACCCTTTGTACACTTTCAGTCTGAGGACCAGCACACTTTGGATAGTGACTTCCATCGGTTCCATATTTCACAAATTGCATAAGAAAAATCAAACAGTTTTTAGTTTCTTGGCCTATCCTCCAGCACAGCAGATTTTTCTTGTCAGGAGTTTGCCAGTTATGAAATTTCAACGTAAATGAAACGATACGTTCATACATGCATTCGGGATTCGTCAACATTTGTTAGAGTATCAAATGAATCGTCACAAGAAGCCTGCACTGCCCTCTTGTTTTTAATGATTTGAGCGCCACAGCAGCAACAGCTATGCCTATGCATGTACTATATACATACATACATGCATATATAAAGTAGGACAGAGACTCATAGAAGAAGAAGTGATATCGAAAAGGGGGAATGGGTGACCAGCAGCTTTTGTCAACGCCTCAAATGAAAATGAAGACAGAGGAGGAGAGATGGTAAAAATAAAACACAATACATATACTTGTGTTACTGCTGGGAGTACGATATTGATGATGGATGATATCTAATATGGGGAAATAACTATAAAATGAATCTGCTCTCATCTTCTTCTAACAAACTAAACAATTTGTGGATAATAAACGATGAAAATAAAATAACATTAATG